TGGACAGACTGACCTCAAAACTCCAAATTAAGCATACAGGCCTTCTAAAGCACAACATCTTCCCTGTAAAATCTCAGGAATATTTTGGCACCAGTTCTAACACTGTCAAGTAATCCTCTTCAAAAAGCTTAATGACCCAAGATGATTCATGACTCACAAACAACAGCACTAGTAAATACTAGAAATTAAGTAGTACTTCAATGAAGGGGCAAGTACAGCCCGCACTTCAACAGCAATATTTCTCGGGAATATTTTATGGATCCTGTAGATGTGTTCACTGGCCTGTAAAGGAGCAGAAAGTTGTCTGGAGTTTTAAAGAGTGGTAGGCAGACATGCCTGATCAATATAAGGTGTGGTGAACAGGGAGAGGCATTTGTCCATTGAACTGCATGTAGCTATTTTCAGCCCTCAACGTAAGACTTTTTAAAAGATATAACCTTACACAGGAATTCAATGAGATCTATTTAGCACACAGAAAATCCAAAGTAAAATGCAAAATGTATGGTTAAGGAAAGGCCTAACCAACAGAATGTAATGGTACATTTTCTAAAATATCAGTTTGCATGTATTGCTATTCTCATGGTTAACTTCAAAAAAATTTTCTTACTGACACTTCTGCTACAATGCAACTAAGATCTCATAAGCAGTAGTTAGAAAAGGTGGTTTTTAACAATCTGTTAATAATTTAATTAACAGTTAATTAGTCATTCACACTATTTCAAGAGTCGAAAGGCACAAGCTGTGTTAGCTGTGGAGTAGTTGAACTCAATGATCTACATTTGGTCTCCATCTAGGAGGTCTTTTCCAACCAAAATAATTCTGTGATTTGAAGCTGGGTATGACACCTGACTAGCAAGGAATACTCTCTCCTGAAGGTACTGGAAAATTTTAAAGTTGCAAAGCTTTTAAAAAGACTTTTTCCCCACTTTTTTAGTCATATCATCTTCTACATTGTTTTACTGTGTTTTGCACAGTCTTCAAGCCAAGAACTTTAAAAGCTGAGAAATTATACTCAGAGATAACTCCAAGTACAGAGAAGAGTGATTACCATTAATATTAACATACGCTCTCATAGTACATCTCTCACTGGTTTAATACATCCAGTTGGATAGACAAATCCTTATGAAAAATAATAAAGTGATTTCCAACACAATAATGCATATCCTCCATTGTTTCAGAAAACAGACTGAAAGGCAACTGACATCATCATAGTGAAATAAATATTCTGAAAGGCTGTTTTTTAGCAATCAATACATTTTTTGTTAAGAGTCACAGTTTGACTGCCTGGGGTTTTTTCCGCCTGGTACTCAAACCGGTTTTCAAGCTACACATTTGTTAGTTCTCTTTGTATTATATACAGGCACACACTCAGATAATGCAAGCAAGGCTAATGATATTAAGCCAATCATAAAAATTTTTAGCCAGTAATACATAAGAGTACCTAAATTAAAAACTTTTTTAGTTTCAGTAAATTAAAACTGTAGTTACAGGGGTGGCTGGACAAGCAATGTCAAAATGAGGTCTAAGAGAAGAACCAATGTAAAACTAGAAAATTAATAGAAGATTTCAGATTTCATTCGTGTTTTTCACAGTTAAACTCCCGCATATGACAATCTATTTGGTAACATGATTTAAAACTAATGCAAAACTGCATATCCCACTTCAAACACAAAACATGGGAAGGGAAAGATACGTAATCTAGAAAGGACTTCTCAGTCAATATGTATTGACTGCAGGCAAAGTATTACTGCAGATATTTAATCTTTTTTAAAAACTGTCCTTTTCACAGATTCAAATTAAATTGCAGTGTTAAGGAGGCTCTTAGCATAAAAAGTAAATAAAACTTGATAAAGAGGTTTCATTCACCAATTTTGAATAGAAGCATTTTTCCTTTCTCTTCCAGTTTTGGAGAGCCAGAAGATCATAGCTGTATACATCAACTATTTCTCACTACAACTCAATAGCTCTGAATAAACTAATAGACTCATTTAATGTCAGTAATTGCATAGCTTCTGCACTACCTATTGTGGAAAAAGTACCACTGTCCAGATAAACAAAGTACCTATTCTATAATTTAGGAAAGGGTGTGCACTAACTAAATATGGTCACTCCTAATAAACTTCCTTGCTCTGAAAAGAGAGATTTAATTTCGCATCATCCATAAAAACTTGGATTTACAGTCTTTATGCTTCCCTAGTACTATATTGTCAAACTCGTATAATTAAACCACCAATTTTATTCAGCTAAACTTCACTGATTACCATAGTTTACCTAGCAGGCCTTAATATAATCATTATACCCAGAGTAGTTTTTTTTAGCTTAAAAAAAATCTCAAAACTGGGGAGCTGAAAAATAGCAGATATTCATATTACAATTGTTCTGTCATATGAACTTGACCAAAAAAAATCTAGTAGGCAGGGTTATGGATGAGAGATAACAAACTGAACCACAGACACCTTAACTCTCTGTGTCTTGTACTTTCCAAAAACACATCTGGTAAAAAAAAATCATGCTTGTGCCAAGGCAACTGAATCTACTCCTGAAGTCCTTGGCATCTCCTGCAATATCTTAATAAACTCACCTATATAGCAAACATTGTAAATAATCCATGAGATCAAAGCTGTCTAAGGCTCTCTGAAGTGAACCATAATAGGATCTAGAAAATAACTGGAAAAGCAAGAAGCATACAATACCGGAAGATATTTTACAGCTACTAACTTATACATGTACACAAACAGAATTAATTCAATGGCCAGAAGTTTTAGGACACTATTCAGATTACATTACAGCATATGAGACCCCTATAAATACAGTAGAGGGGAGAGATACTGGTGAAAATCCCACTTCTCTCACCTTTAGTGGCTAGAGAGAAAATATTTATGGTCTTTCCAGACACCTATCCATTTAACTCAATGAGAATTTTTTAAATTAGAATGCTTCACTGAACACTGTCATATGACAAAGTAGAAAATACTTCAATTTAAATCAACTTTAATTTAAAATAACAGAACGTAGTTGTTTTTATAACATTAGAGTATTTCTAAAATAAAACACTTTAATTACATTCTACAGTTGCAGCTGTAGTACACTTTGATTCGAATTTTCCCCACAAATATCACTATGTTGTTTTCAAAAGTCAGATTAAGGATTTTTACTGATGCAATATTTCAAAAAACCATAGATGCCACACATTTTTTCTGTTTTGCTTTGGAGCAGCATCTCATCAAAAACCGTACATTCCGTACAGAGAGAAAGTCCTCACTAGATCATATAACTGCTAAAAATTAATGTAAGTAAGAAAACAAGACAATACATTCATATATGTTAATCCATCTTACCCCAAAAGACAAGAAAATAAAAGAGCCAAGAAATTTCTGTTCTATTATATTGAAATGTGTAAGTTGTTCATATCTTCCAATCAGCCAAAATATTTCTCAGGATCTAGTTTAGCAACGTATTTTGAAAATCAGTATTCCCAAATTTTATAAATGCTTTTAATCAAGCACTGCAATACCACGAAACAATGAAATTCACTGCAAATCAACAATAAGTGCTCCCTCAGAAATCAAGTTTTCTCCCACAAACCTACTCAACTCACTGACATTAAATTATGTCTCGTTATATTTTCCAAGGTGAGAAAGGGACCATCTAGTTCATGTCACATACTTGCAAAGCTCCAACCTCATTCATACTTCACTCAAAAAATATCTTCTGTCAATGCTCCAAAGAAAGAGGACAAGAAAGATTTTTATTTCCCTCCCTAAGCATCCTTTCATGATATTACTTCTTCACTGGCTTATGAGTTAGTGATTAAATAGCCAATTTGTGGGAAATAGCAAAATTGTGGGAAAAGAGAGAGATGAGCATGCCACTACTAATGAAAAATGACTACACTTTTCTACAAAGTAGGTATTTAAACTGACATAAGAGAAATACAGAAATCTAAGTCTCAATGTAAGAGCAGCTTGGTTTAGGTTTTTTTAAGCCTGTTTTCAACTTCACTTATTAAAGTATTTACATGGCCTTTCCAGAAAGTATATTCTAATTATGTCACACATACAAGATCTCACTTACAAAAGCGAGGAGTCAATGAAGTGGACAAATAAAAAACATGCCAAAAAAACCCCATTAATTTGTGAAAATAGTGCTCTTAGCAACACTTGTTCAAAGAAATGACTGGTAAAACCTGAGAGAGGATGAATGCGCTGCTACTTCTCCTCTACTCATTCATGTACAACTATTTTTTCCATATTTATATAAGTCACTCCTTCCAATATGAGAAACTTGGTCATCAATTAATGACCAAAACTGAAAAATTTTCACTTTCCCATTTGTGAACTTTATTTCTATGAGCTGTAGATATCATTTAATTGATTAAATAAAAATCCATGTGCATCTATATCTAAATCTCTGAATTCTAAACTGATGCACTAACATAAAAGAAGTGTATCTTAGGCCAGGGACACAGTTCCAAGTTCCAGGCTCCACAGCTGACTGTGTTGTGGACATATGGGGAAGGCCCAAGAACTCCTTCATGAAGGGTCACACCTGAAAAGTCCACACAGAATCCTTCCATCCCTGATAACCCACAGACGTTCCTCTTCATTTTGTATGTACTTTATTCTCCACATACCTCGTTCTAAATGACAATCACCTCTTCTTAAAGGTTTGAACCTCACTGCTGTCGAAGAGAAGCCTAATTACAGCTCTCAATTTCACTGAGGCTTTAATGCAAAACTTTTGACTAGACAACACTATTGTCCTAGCTGTTGCTAAGGTAAAGGTGAACCGTGGCCCGTATGCTACAAATCCATGGATAATCACACTTGACCATGCAGATAATCAAATTAATGAATAAAATTAAGACTAAATTAGTAAGTCATGCTGAGTGCTTTGTTTTTATAACTTGTTGAACCAGAATAATTTGCAATTACAGTTTCCCTTTTTCTAGGAAGGGAGTGGATTTTGAAATACAGGTAAGTTATATTTGAATACATTTGGTCAACATGGGGATCAAATCCCCAACCTTGGTGTTATTAGCAGCATGCTCTAACCAACTGAGCTAAATTTTACCTACCTTGAAAAAAGAAATTAAACTCTCATAAAATTGAATTATTATAATTGTATTTTCTAATTACTTTAAAACTAGACATTTTTAAACATCCTAAAATAAGTGTACTATGCTTTTCAGTTCTTATAAGACTCTCTTATAAGACAAATACAGTTATAGCTGTTTGCTGATCATAAATCACCAATGAATGAAAATAAGTACATACAAAGTAAGATGTAAACCACAGCACTGCTACAAATAGATACTTGTAGGGCAGTACGTTTGAGGGAAGAATAAAGCTGATCTTAACAGTCTTTCCTGAGATGCAGTTGATAACATGCACCTTTTAGAACGATAGCTCAATCTTTCTGCTGTGAAACACTAACATTATTTCTCACATCACAAGATCATTTTGGAGCTTTTTCTCAATTCTCTGCAGTTTTGCTCGAATCCATTTGCTTTTTTTCCAAACTGGAAGTTATTTTAGCACAAAGGAGACATAGCAGCTACACATCTTTTTGGGAATATTAATTAATTATTAATTAATTATTAATTAAGGAAGATACCCTTCTAATTTCACTCACATGTCATCTGAAGAGAAACCAGAAGCATCTCAAATGGATCAGGCCTCAAATACCTTAGATTTGCATCAAGAATGACATATACACTAAAGTAGGAATAAGGAGTAGTCTTTCATTCTTATTTTGGATGCCAAGGCACCTATACAGACAGGCACAATAACCATTGGTAGCCACTTGTCCAGGCCATAAAACTACTGAGTTTTTTGTCCTGTTTCCCAACAGAGTAATTGCTAATTTACCAATCTTCGTGATTAAACACACAACTGAGAGTAGGGCACCTTAGCAGCAAGGTAAAGATCTGTTCCTGTGTGAACACATTGTTTACCTCCAGAAATAAACTCTTCACATTAAACTCACAGGATATGATTGTGGGACACATCTCAATTCATAATCCTTTTTTCTCTTTAACAGTTGCCATGGGAGACCATAAATTAGAGCCTGCAGAACCACAAGTGGCCTTCCCAGGCCAAATGTTTGATATTATTGTCTGCATGCTTTGGCACACATGATAATACTAGTGTTTGAGACACATATTTATACTAACAGTTGTATTCTGTACAGTACTGAACTCCTATCTCACATAATCAAACATTCACTTACATTTGTGTCTTCCAGATTCATATTACAAAGAACTTGAACTCCCTCCACTGCTAATTATTCCTACTGTTTACTCACAACAAACATCCTCTTTTACATTTTCTAAGACATTAACTGTCAAGCAAGTACTTCTTATTTTAAAAGATTTTAAGGTGAATTCTCAAAGACAACTCTCTGCTTTTTCAATGAACAAGTATCTAAGTTATTGCCCAAACAAATGCATAGGCATTTTACACAGGTAGGTGTATATAAAAATATATATGTATGTATATATGTATATAAATATATATATAAATATATAAATTTTTTCAAGTTATCTGACGCTAATTAACACACCACTTATAAGTGTGTTAGTAAGATCAATGAGTGCTGAATTTATTAAACTATTATTTTTATTAAATTATGTTCAAAGTTCAGATAGTTACTGCAAAGCAATCACAACTGGGAGCCCACCACTACATTTCAGCAATTAGCACTCCAGACCACAATCCGCTCCCACCTCATTCCCCCACAGTACAAACATCCTTAATTTACAAAGATTCACGAAACACTTAATGATTATGAAAAAAAAATTAACCACAGAACAATACTAAGTAACTACAACAGGATCACAAAGCTATTGTTAGTCTTAATGGAAAATCTAGCCTAAAATTTATCATGTTTTATGTAAAGAAAAAATAGCTATTTTGTCTTGTGTGCACCCACTACTTACTACTATAATAAGTTCATTAAATAAATATTTTATTATATGTGAATACCCTAACATTAAGGTCCCTGTTACTTCTTATTTAAGGAAGTAAATACACTGATATAAATCTTAAGTAATCATACATGCATAAACCCACTGAAAGTAATCCATTTGCAAAAGTATAGTTTTAAAGTATTATTTATTAATGAATCTGCATGTAACTTTATTTACAGAATATTTATAAACCATAATCATGCACATGAAACTAAACTGAATTCTTCCCATCAAGGTAACTGTCATTTTGCAAATAAAACTCCTAAGTTCTGTACAGCAAGTTTAATGTCTTTGGTAACTGATGCTCTTTCTATAGGGTCACATTTAAAACTAAAGTTATGTAGATTTTCTAATTTTTGTTTGATTCATTACAAAATAGCATAAGCATGTAAGCATCACCATAAAACCAATGTTTCTATTCTTGTTTAACATAATTATCTGCTCTATCTATAACAAGCTTTATGATATCTTCTATCAGAATTTTAAAATTTCTGTATTTTACAAGGAAGATTTCATTCATTTTATTTGTCCTTCCCAAAGCACTTGTTCCAATTTACTCCTGTATCAAGAAATAGGTGCAGCTAGTAGACCTTCCATGTTTTTGTTTCAGACAAATACTGTTCTCTCCCACATTTTACATAGGGCTACACAGTATCAGCCACACTTGGGCAAAATGATTAGCCCAAGTAGATTACACTCTCTAGTTAACAGTGCATCAGCTGACTTTCAGTTATTCTACATAATGCCCATGAAAAATGCAAATTAATCCAACTTTCCTTAGCCAGTAATGAAACAGGTTTAAATTAACCCAAGTTATGTGCAATTGCCACATTTTACATATATGCAACTGAACATTCACTGTAACTGAGCATGCAATAACTTCAGATTATCAGGACTTGCATTGAATTCTAAGAAGTCCACCGACAGAGCTTTTTACAAGACTTCACTGACTAATTGTTTATCAAGACATGATAACGAATTTGCTTAATTCCATGACATCATATGTCTACTTTGAGTCTAGAAAAAAGATTTGTCACGAATAAACACTAACATTTACAAAAAAAAAAAAATTCCTATTCTGAAGTCTACTAATTCAAGGCAAGCACTTAATATGGTGCTAAATTAAACAAATGGTTCTCATTATTCTTTCTCTAGGTTGCAGGCTGAAATTATAGTATGATGTGAAAACTGAGAATGTTTACTTTTCAGTAGTATGATGGCTTGTTCACGTAATGATATTTAGTGAATTACAGACAAAAGTCTTTAAACAGTTCCATTTTTATTTCAATTCTTCAAATATTTTAATTATATTTTCCATGTTAAAAATAAATGATCTATTTTTGCAAATAACATGACTGAATTTTACATCATGCTAGATAGAATGCCAGAGGGAATTACTCCAGTGAGTAAATATGCAGAGTCATAACTCTAAATAATCTTTTATAGTAGTGACTCTAGAGTGCACAGTGTGTTCCTACAGCTCTCTAAGCCATTAGTCACCTAACTTATCACCAGAGAAGTTCACCTACAACCTTCCTTCAGTATATGTCAGAACTAAGCAGCTCAACACCTGTTTTACACCCAAGATCTTCAGAGTGAGAAAGTCCAATCATACACATGCACTGAACATAACATAACATAGAAAACCAATTATGTGGTACTGCATACTAGCCACTGCCTCCCACACTTCATTTAAAGTCTCAGAAGCACAGAGATTGAATATTTGCCTGAGGTACCAGACCGATTCTGAAATCCTCCTTAGTGGTAGGACATTCAAACATGCATTTGCCACCATCAGCGTCTTTGATTGGCTCTGTGTTTTATTGGGAGTTGACCATTCTCTTATCCTCCTGCTGAAGGAATACTACATCACAGTGCAAAGAAAATTAATTAGAACAGGGAAAAAACCTGAAGGAGAGAACATGATTTTCAAATAAAATGATTCAAACTGAACTCTAGGATGTAAAAATCTCTCCAGTGTTTTCTATCGACTAACCAATATGGATCCCTTACTTAGCATCACAGGAGCTGAGTTCGATTTTGCATCTCACACATCTCAAACTTTTGACTGACATTCAAGGGCTGACCTTTTCAGCAACAATATCACAACAAAGTCCCGTTCTGATCTCACTCCAATTCCTTTTTATACTGTAGAAATCAAGACTGAAAATTTTACTTATTGCACTCTAACACCTATTTTACAAGACAATGCTTAAAAATGCATCACACTAAATGTACAGCTGTATGGTAAAACTCCTATAATTGAAAATGTTAGAGTTATGACTTTAAAAACATCCTCTAAAGCAGAACACTCAGCACCGAAAAGTTTGTATCAACAAATACTAAAACATTACTTTTTCTGAGTATCAACTCAAGACTTCCTAGACTTTTATAGGAAATCCTAGGCTGAAAGTCTTTGCAAAGTCAATCAAAAGTTATTAAATGTCCCTTGCCTCCAAGAATTCTGACACAGTCCTTGGATTATGTAATTGTGTAACACTTCTCTGCCACCCCTAGGCCCAATCTTCCTCCAGTTTACAGGAGGGATCTGCTCTGGAAAAACATCAGAGGCTATTCATAAGGCTGTAAGGTGTGTTGTACGCATGACACTTCAAGTCCAAGTAAAAACAAAGAAAATACGAAAGAGGCTTCAGATCAGATAGCAGGAAACAGAAAAATGCCACTCCTGGGAATCTCATTCTATTTTTATTACCAATGGTAAATATTTCTGTGTTCCTTTTATCCTGCAGGCTCCAAAGCCTAATTTGAACAAGCACTGCTTAGTCATACTTGTAACCAAAATTAACAAAATCTGTCCTACTATTACCATACAAATCATGATGCAAAAAAAAGAGCCAGTTAATTTAAAATTAAGGTTCTACACTTGTTCCAGTTAGACTTCCAAAGATAATAAAGACCAACTTCTTCATCTCAGTACTCAACTTACATGATTACATACTACCCTCAAAAACATTTAAAAAATAAGTGTTTGTAAAACTTGATTGTGGAATTACATTATTCCAGCACAGGCCATGGAAAAGCCTATGAAATTAAGACTTCTGTCTCTGGAGCAGGGCTCCACAAAACAATTCAGGCAAAATG